AAAAAAAAAAAAAAAAAAAAAAAAAAAGCAGCTGATCCCACGCCAGCTAACGAGGGTAGTGGCTTCTAACTGGAGTGCCTGGCAGCTGGCACTTCTGGCTCGAGCTGTCCCAAGCCAGACATGCACTGGTGGCTGGACTGGCTCTCCCAGTGGCCTCCACAGGAGGAAATGCCCACAGGCTCAGCTGTGAGTAGAGCTGGAAGTGGAGCAGGGGCCCTAGCCTGCCTAGACTTATCTCCTATGCCCTGGCTGTGCCTATCCCCTCCAGTCCTGTCCTATCTGGACTCTCCATCCACAGCTCCTCTACTCTTCCTGCGCCTCCTGCTGGGGATGTCCCCATTTTCCCCCACCACCCTGCAAATCCCACCTGACTTTCATAGGCCAGCATCTTCCTGACTCTACCCAAATCCCAACAGAGATGCTGTCTTCCTTCTCTAAGGCTCCCCAGCACTCTCATCCCCCGCTTGTGGCCCTGACAACATTTTGCCTCACCTACTAGTATTATATGAGTGTTTGCTTTCTTCCTTGACTGAGCCACAGGCGGCTGGGGCTAAGTCTGGTTCATCTTCTCATTGTCCCCCATCCAGCCTATGGAGCTCCATTCATGCATGGGCACAGGCATGAGAGCACTGCTGGTGGGGGCAGCCGCCCTGCAGGAAGCCAGTGCCCAGGAGGCTATGTTTAACAAATTAGCAGAGGTGTTCTCCCCTTCCTCACCTGGGATCCATCATTCAGGACAGAGGGTGTGGAGCAGAGGGTCCCCTTTGCACTCACTGCCCCTTTGCACTCACTGCCCCTGGCAACATACCTGTAACTTTTTACTGCAGGCACCTGCAGTTCCCTGCCAGAGGGCTTTTTTGGCCACAGGACAGGCAAAGGCAATGTGTGGGACCCAGCTAGAAGTGCTTGGGAGTTTCCCCCCTGGGACTGGCCTTCAACCCATGACAGATGGGAATGGAAGGGGACATAGCCCAGCTTCCTTGATACAGAGGGGATGACTCTGAGGTGCTTCTGCACAGTCTCTGGAGGACCACAGTGGGATCGAGCCACACAGTGGTACCTGCTCCTGAGTACCTTGCATTGGCTGCCTGCCCTTTTCTCTCTCACTCCCCCTCTCCCCTTCTAGTGCTTTCTAGGATCACCACCCAAATAAATTATCATGCTCAAATTCTGGTCTCAGGGTCTGTTTCCTAGGGGAATCTAAGAAGAGGCAACAGAATAGAAAGCAGAAAAACACGTGTGAGTTCCCCTGGCTTGTGGATGATGCCGGATGCCTCCGAAGAAAGTATCAAGACCGATGTGGTAGTGTTGGCCACAGAAAGAGTTCATGAATCTCGAGAGACAAGTGGCCTGGCTTCCCCAGATAGAGCCCCAGAAGGCAGAAGGAGCCCACAGAGGGAATAGACATGTGGAGTGCCCCTGCCAAAGGGATTCTTCTGGTCCCCTGGAAATCCAGTTCTCTGGGCAGAGCCAGAAGCTTCAGACAGGTTTCTGTTCCCCAGGCACAGCAAGGCAGCAGCAAAGAACCCCCAGAACTGGACCACCATAGGAGCCCTTCAATACCTGGATTATATCAGCCCCCAGAGCTTTGATTCAACCCCTAAAAGGCTGTAAACCTAGGAAATCACTGGGATTTTGTTTTCTGCCATTGCAGCAGGGCAGGGTCCCAGAATCAGAAATACTTTCCTATACACTTGGGTTTAAGGACCTATAGTAGCTGCTGAACTAGAATCCTTTTCTCTTTTTCTCTTCCAGGACCTCACCAGGCTGTCTGGGACCACTCAGGATACTGCAGGGTCAGTCTTGGAAACAGAGCCATGCCATATCCCCAGGATCCCCTTCCTGGAAGACCCTACCCCAAATCCATGAGGAGAGCTCTGGAGTTCAGCAAGGAACTTTCCACATCTCTCCTCTCTCTTTGGGATCTCCTAGGGCTCAGAGCTTCCCTAGCACCATGCCAAAGCCATCCAAGGCTGGTCCTACCAGGAAGCAGCCAGACGCTAATTTTCTCCATCCATCAGGAAAAAAGCCTTTGTGGAGGGCAGAGTGGGGAGGGGGTTCCCCAGTCCCTCCTCAGGAGACGGCCAGTACCTCCCAGCCTCCTTCCTGCCCCCACTCCACCCTCATCTGGAAGCCATGGTGACCATGTCTTGAGGCTGGAGTCCCCTCTTGTTCCCTGGGGTGTGGATGCAGAACGTCTGCACAGGCCACAGAGGATGGCCAGTCCCTAGACCTCGCTGGCTTGACAGCAACCAGCTCAGACAGGGAGAGAACATCTACTGGGACCTGTGTCCTGAGAAAGTGACAGATCCATGGTTAAGCCTCCACATAGAACCGGGGGTCTTAGCCCTGTGTGCACTGACCCCCAAGAAATACATGAATAGAAATTCAGGGGGTTCGTATATTTGGGTGGGAATAATGGCAACTTTGTTTCATTTTAACTGAATTTTAGCATTTTCTTCCATTATGAAAGTGGACAACAAAACCCAGTGGTATCAGCAGGAGATGTGACTTTTGTCACTAACAGAAATCTCAGATATTTTCATCTCACATTACCATTGGTGGAGATGTCTCAAAATGTCATTTATTCTCATCATTACTTTAAAATCACTTTGGTTACTCAGCCTGCCACTAGAACTTGTTATTTGAAACATGAGCAAAGAAACACATGTATCCCTGTGATCCAATTTTGTTTTTATTATTCTTATTGCTGTATTTTAATTGCTTTCCTTTGTAATCCTTTGTTTCGGTTTTTATGCATTTAAAAACATTATCCTAATGGGAGTCCATAGTCTTCAGAAGAAGGTTCGTGGCAGTAAAAAGATCCAAACCCTGTTATGGAGAGACTCCCAGGAACAAGGGAAGCAGGTGTTCTCCAGTCAGTAGGGGGTCCTCATTCAATCCTCGCAGAGGTGAGCCAGGAAATCTTAGAAATGAGGGTTCTGGGGCAGGGGCCGGAAAGCTAGTGCCCAGAAAAGAACTTGATTCCACCTTGTCTTCTTTTCTTTTCTCCCTTTTTTTTTAAAACTTGTATTTACTGTTTCAACTTCTGAACTTTTTCACTGTGCCCAGCACGGAGCTTGACAAGAAAGGCAATCTTGGCACCTGCAGGGTGGAGTAGAAGGTGAGAACCTGATGGAATCAGTCTGTGGCTCCTTAGATTGGGGTTTGTGGTGGTGGCTAGGGACCCACAGGCAGCCCTCAGTTTCCCAGTTGGGCATCTAAGAGTGATAGAGCTCAAGTTCCAGGGCTTTCCCAGAGATGGGCTGTGTTGGCTGTCACTCAGGGCTGGTGAGACAGGGTGCAGAAGTGAACTGGAGTGAGCCCACAGCACCTGCCCTGGGTCTGGTGGGAGACTCCGAACTTCACAGCCCGGACCCCTGTCCTCATGCACTTCAGGTGTGGGGGGCTGAAAAATGGGCAAATTCTCTATGTCAGAGATGCTAGGGTGGTTCCTCACTCTCACCTTTGCTCCTTCCACAGCACAGCAGATGCTTTAGGGCCCCTTGTCTGATTACGGCTGCAGCTGCAATGGACAGCTCTGTACAGGCTCTCAGCATCTCACCTCCACAGCACATAGGTCTCTCCCTCTGCCTGTCTCAGGGCTATTTCTGAAGCCACAGAGTCAGCTGGGGGACGGGGGAGGGGCTGCAGCCAGGAAGTGCAGGGGAGTCAATTTCCCAGGGTGAGACCCTTAGATAAATGCCCCAGCTTTTCTCCTACTCTGGAGGCTTCTGAAATCCTTGCTGAGTTGAGCCCCCGTCCCGTACAGCCTACACCTTTATAGCACACTTCCTGCTTCCTTCCTCCAGCCCCCTAGGGTCACCTCCCAAATAAACTACCCTCACCCAAGTCCCTTGTCCCAGGTGCTGCTTTCAGAGAGAACCAAACTAAGACACATAGTAATAGAATCTTTAAGCTGGGCACCTGATTGCCCCTGATAAAGGCTACATTTTCCACCTGTGTATTTTAGCCATGTGTGGCCATGTGACTAAGTTTTGGCAAGTGGGATATGAAAAGAGGTGACTGTCACTCAGTTAATAGGAAGGGGCATGCTGCCCTCTGTCCCTTTACCTCTTCCTACTGACCAAAAAGCAGAAGTAGTGGTGAGCCAAGGTGGGGCATGTGGACAAGGACCTTCACCCCTGGTATTCACACCCTTGTGTAGTCTCCTCCCACACTGAATCAGGAGTGGCCTCTGTAACCACTAGAGTATGGCAGGAGTGACAGTGTTTGACTCCAAAGGCTAGTCACAAAAGGCACTATAGCTTCCATCCTGGTCTCTTGGATCCCTCACTCAGGGGCAAGCCAGCCGCGACACCATAAGGACACTCAGGCAGCCCTTCTTCTAGGTAGGAAGAAGCTGAGACCTCATGCCAGCAGCCATGTGAGTGAGTCACCTTGGAAGAGGATCCTCCAGCTCCAGTTGAGAATTGAGATGACTGCAGCCCTGGCTGACATCTAACTGCAAACTCAAGAGTTCTCAAACCAAAACTGTCCAGCCGAGTTGCTTCCAAATTCCTGACCCACAGAAACCATGAGAGATAATAAATGATTTCTTTAAGCCATTAAGTTTTAGGGTAATTTGTTATATAATATTGGATGATTGTTATGGGTTGAATTGTGTTCCCCCAAAATTCATATCTTAAAATCTAACCTAACCCCCAGTACCCCAGAATGTAACATCACTTGGAGGAAAGGTCTTCACAGAGGTAATCAAGATAAAACAAGGTTGTTAGGGTGGGCCCTAATGCAATATGACTTATAAAAGGAGGAAATTGGAGACAGACAAGCACACAGGGAGAATGCTGTATGAAGATAAAGACAGAAATTGGGGTAAGACTTCCACAAGCCAAGGAACGCCAAAGGTTGCTAGGCCAGCAAACCACCAAAAGCTAAGGGAGAGGCAGGGGCCTCTCAGCCTTCAGAAGAAAGCAACCCTGCTGACACCATGATCTCAGATTTCTAGCCTGCAGAACTGTGAGAAAGTAAGTTTCTATTGTGCAAGCCACCAAGCTGTGGTATTTTGTTACAGCAGCTCCAGCAAACCAATACAGTAACTGATACAGGCAACATCTGAGGGAGAGCAGAGCAGCAAGACAGAAGGGTCCTGGGCCCGCAACATCACAGCAACAGCCCCCACACCAGCCCTGGTTTCTATGTGAAAAAGAGACAAACTCTGTCTTGTTTAAGCCACTGTTCTTTTTGTTCTCTGTCACACGTAGCTTCAGCTATATCCTAACTAATATGGCATCCCAAGCCTCCTCCCGACATGTACTGATTCCACGTGGAAATGAGTCCCCCCTAATAAAAAAATTAGTGGAGACCTATGGTATCATCAGTACCGTGAAGACTGCCTTCCTTTCATGCACAGACACTTAGCACTTCTTCCATGTGGCAAGCAGATGGGGCTAGGTTACAGGGGATGCAGAAAGCCAGCTCAAGACTGTCATCACCATGAAAGAGCAGTACCTCCCGGAAGGACTGAAGGGAGGCCTGGAGGACCCCAGTGACTCTGCTCACTCTACAGTAATGGAACAAAGCATCTCCCAAGGAAAAAGAGGGCACCAGATCCAGGAGACTCCACAGGACAGGAAGGGAGGTCAACTCTGTCTGAGAGCTGAAACTAGCCATAGGTCTTTCCCCACTCTTCCCCAAGGTGGACTCTTCCACTCCCATTCCTGAACAACTTGGGGACTGGCAAGGGGGTGAGGTGGGGAACTTTCAGTATTAGAACTCTTTATGTTTCATGTGACAAAAAGCCAACATACAAGGGCTTAAGCAAAAAAAAGAATTTATATCTCAGAAACTGAAAAGTCCACAGGTAGATGGGATTTAGCTGCAACTGGATTCAGGAATTCAAACAATGTTATCAGAAATCTGTCTCTCACCATCTCTTGGATCTGATTTCCCATGAGTTGACTCAAATCTCAGGCTAGTCAATATGACCACACAGCAGCAGGTTTACATTTTCCCAGCACAATAGCAGAGCAGTGTGCTTCTTTCCCATGGTTCCAGTAAAAGTTCCAGGGCTGGTGTTCATTAGCCCAACTTGGGCTATGTGGCCATTAGCATGACTCTCATTGGCCAGGCCTGGGGCAAGTACTCACTGTTGGAGCCATAGTAGAAGATGAGCCAACCAAAGACCCACATGGGCAAAGGGCAGGGAAGCAGCAGTTTCCACCCCACCAGAAAGGCACAGAATGGTGGACATATTCTATGTGAGTGTTTTCACACAAATGTCAGTAGGACTAAGGAAGTGACTTCAACAGCTGAATGGCCAGCATATTCCAGGCTAGAGCACCTGGCTATGGTAAAATGTGGTTAGCCCATCCATGTGGAGGGGAGGGCAAGACCCCAACCCTAGTCTGGGCCCAGACTAAGGGATCCTGAGGCCCAGGCTTCCCCATGAATTGGTGCTTTCCCTAGACCAGCAGTGGGGCATTTCTTTAATACACACAGTTCTATATTTTCCTGGGGCAGAACACCTCCTCATGGTCTTCTGCTGGTACCCAGTTACCCTCAAATGTGGTTTTGGCTCCAGCAAGGCCTCTGTCTTCTACCCCCTCCCTGCTCCCCCACTGTAGGTCACACACACACACACACACACACACACACACACACACACGCACACACACACGCACACACCTACGTTCTTCTACCACCAGTCTAATACCTCCTTTCCCTGATCCTCCATTCTCTTCAAAGCACAGTTCCCACTGAGCCTGTTCTCTGACCTGTACCATCCAAAGAGACTGAGCCCAGCCTGCAGCCCCTACAGGGGTTTTTGGTCTCCCCAATTAGCCTGGGGGCTCCCAGGGCAAGGTCTGGGCTTCCTCCTTGCTCCCTCCCCACCTTAGATGCCTCCCCCTGCAGGCAGAGGACAGACAGGTCTACACCCAAGGAGGGGATAAATAATCTCATACTGGGGGCCACCATGAGGCAAAAGAAGCCAACGGCCTTCCAGGGTGGCTTTCCAGAGGTGGTGGCAGGTGTCAAGATTCACTTGGGCTACAGCAGAGCCACTGGAGCTGTCAGGACCCCTGCCCCCATCCTTCTGGGCCCTGTCCCATCCCAGGCAAGAACAAGCCTAGGAGCAGGAACAGCTGGCAAGTGACTCGGGCCTGGGCAGGGTCCAGGATAGAAAGGAAGTGAGAGAAGCTTGTGTAACTGAGGCTATTTTTACTCAGACCCGTGCAAACAGAGGTGTGGGCTGGTCCAGCCAGTTCCTCTTCTCCCCTGGCACGTGGCCTGGAAGTCCCTTAATGGGTAGACAGTGCCCACCATGTTGAGAGCCAGTGGGGAGAGATGGGTAGAGAAAGAGCAGACATAAGAATTCCCCTCCCCCACCATTGCCCCAGAGACTCCCAGCCTGGAGGCCCTGGCTCTCCTCCAGGGGCTGTGGACTCAGAGACTCAGGGACTGCCTGCTGGGATCTAGCCATACTCTCTCTCACTTTCCAAGTCAGGCAGTTTGGGCTGGGAATGGGATCAGGGCTGGGGGTCATCTTGGGGTCAGAAGTCAGGCTGGACTGACGCCCGTGATCAGAGTCAGGTATCATCCTAGGGTCATGGGTTATTCTGGGCTAATGCCCATGATCAGGACCAGGGGTCAGTTTGGATCAAAGCCTGTGATCAGGGTTAGGGGTAAGGCTGGAGTCAAGGATAAGCCTAGAATCATGGATCACCTGGGTGGAGGACCAGGATCAGGGTCAGGGGTCAGCCTGTAGTCATGGGTCAGGCTTGGCCAAGGCTTAGATTCAGAGGGAGATCGAAGCAGGAAAGGTCTTCTGGAGGAGCTCCATTTCTCTTGCTTATCCAACCTTCACTGATACCCACTCTGATGTTATCCCCAACAGAGGCCCCCAAAGTCTTCGCAGACGGGGTGACTGACATGGATTCAAGCCCTGAGGCCAGACAAAGTCTCCACTGAGAGATGTGCGGAGGAAGCCCTTACTGGTGGAAGGATCATGGTGGAAGGATCATGAGAGACATGAAAGGGGCCCAGGCCTGTGTGGTGGGCGGGGAGGGAGGGATGAGGGAGGCTGCAGGCCCGAGGTGGTAAAGAGCCTCCAAGGCCAGGCAAGGAAGGGCCTGGAGGGGTTTCCCTTAAAGCTGGGTGAGAGGGCAGCATTAGAAACCTGGGGACAGAGAGAGGGCAGCTCTGGGTTTTAGGAAGATTCATTCATTTATTCAATAAACACGAATAGAGGACCTATTGTGTGCTGAGCACCGGTCTAGGGACTTTAGATACATCGTGGAACAACACTCCTGAAAATCCCTGCCCTAATAGAGCTTATGTTCTAGCAGGGGAAGATAGATAATGAATGTAATAAAGTAAATTTGCAAATTGAATGACATGGTACTTTGAATGGTGATAAGTGCTACGAAAAAAGAGTAGACTGAGTAAGGGGGTTAGAGTTGGGGGAGCAGTTAGCAGTACTAAGGAGGAGGGTCGGCATTGAGAAGAGAGGTATGGGGCTGTGGGGATGCCCAGGGGAAGAGCATTCCAAGCAGAGGAGCAGCCAGAAAGCAAGAGGGGATCTAGGAATAAGTTCTGGGAATAGCAGGGAGGCCAGTGTGGCTGGAGGAGAGGTAAAGGAGATGACAGCACGGGGT